TTTTTTTAAAAAAAAAAACTCTGATTTCTTCTTCTTGCCATTTCAATCATATTTTAAGTTTTAATTAATTTTTAACTTTAATTTTGTGAAAAGTATTAAAATTAAATTGTTTCTCCCAAATATTTTCTAGTTATATTTATATAAAATGAAAATATTAAATTATTAAAAGTATTTAAATTAAATTATTAGTATATATCTATTTTTTATATGATAAGAACAAAGTGTGCTCGTCATATATAATATTTCGGGTTGCTTGTAAAAACATGCTGAAAAATGACTCCATTTTAAATCTGACTTCGCATAATGATACAATTCTGACAACGTTGCTGAGTAACATCACTGATTTCGACGAAAATGATTTGTGCGCCAATGCCGGCATTCATTTATCCACTTTTAAATACCAAGAAAATACTGTGAGAACTATAATATTCATGCCATTTTACATACAATATTCCGCCATAATCATTTATTCCCTGATATTTTTCTTCGCCTTGATCGGGAACTTAATCGTTATAGTAGTTATATGCGGTAGTAAGGACATGAGAGGAACCACCACATATTCTTACATAGCTAATCTAGCGATGGCTGATTTGTTGCTCATAACATTTTGTCTTCCGACGGCTGTGGCAGAATTATTTTCACAAGAGATTTGGCCTCTAGGAAAATATTTGTGTGAGAAAACTAAACTTTATTAATTGTTGGAACTAATAATATGAGTGACTAGTAAATTAAAAAAATTTCTGCCAGAATAAGATTGAAAATTTTTTTTTAGATTCTATTTATTTTTCTGGAATAATTTTATTAATTACCGCATTATAAATGTTACCAATTTTAAATTTAAATGATCTTAGAAAAATAAAAATGTATCGTTATAGTATCCCCAATTCATAACTGTTCTTCCCAGATTTTATTATTTTAAATTGACGGTTTTGCAAAGTTTTAATTAATATCGAAGACCTGCATAAGTACGTCTTGCATGGCCCAGCCCGGGTTTTTTTTAAATATATTGTACTTGTTTTTAATTTTCATCTATTAATTATTTATAATTAAAAATTTATTTCATTGTAATCTTTTTAATATTGTATTTGAAAATAAAGATTTTAAATAACAATATTTAAATTTTTTTAAATTTTTTTTTAAAATAAATAATTAAAAAATCTCATTAAGATCATTATAAATCCTGGAAAATTGAAAGGATCCTTTAAAAATTTTAAAATGTGGCTTTTATTTTAAAAAGTAAAGAAATTAATCCTAATTTGTAATTTAATTAATTCTTTCATTATAAAAATATAATTTGTAATTTAATTTTCTTTCATTAAAATAAATATAATTTGAATTTAGTGTTATAATTAATTCCTATATTTATTTAATATTTTAAATAAAAATGTTACTAAATTTTTAGGATTTAAATTTTTATTTTTATTGTATGAAAGTAGAGCTGGATTTTTTTTATGTTAATCTTTTAAAACCTAAATCATTTTATATGGATCTATATTTTGAAACACCTGATTATTATAGAAAAATAAAGAAAGAAAGAAAGAAAGAAAGAAAGAAAGAAAGAAAGAAAGAAAGAAAGAAAGAAAGAAAGAAAGAAAGAAAGAAAGAAAGAAAGAAAGAAAGAAAGAAAGAAAGAAAGAAAGAAAGAAAGAAAGAAAGAAAGAAAGAAAGAAAGAAAGAAAGAAAGAAAGAAAGAAAGAAAGAAAGAAAGAAAGAAAGAAAGAAAGAAAGAAAGAAAGAAAGAAAGAAAGAAAGAAAGAAAGAAAGAAAGAAAGAAAGAAAGAAAGAAAGAAAGAAAGAAAGAAAGAAAGAAAGAAAGAAAGAAAGAAAGAAAGAAAGAAAGAAAGAAAGAAAGAAAGAAAGAAAGAAAGAAAGAAAGAAAGAAAGAAAGAAAGAAAGAAAGAAAGAAAGAAAGAAAGAAAAAGAGAAAGAAAGAAAAAAAAAAGAAGCATGGGGAATAAGATTTCGTTAAAATAAGGCCTTTCAAAATTTAAAAAAAATCTAACGCTTTAGATGATTAGAGTTTTTAAAACTTCTAATAATAATTAAGATAATTCAGGCCTCTGAATTATTCACTTGAATTAGATAAACTCATACGACATGTATTTGTTTTAAGCCGAAAACTATCACTTTGACCTTTGGGTTTTTCTTAAAAATATAACAGCTCAAATTTGAAAGAGACTAATATAAATTAAAAAGACATTGGTCATTATTTTCTTTGAATTACATCTCTCTCTCTCTCATATATATATATATTCTAAAATATTAATATTATGTGGTGTAAAATATTTAGATGGTAATTTTTTTTCCTCAGAAATTATAACATTATATTAGATAGTGACAATATATCATTATAAGGAATAGGATATGATTTTTAAAAATAGATTACGGAAATGAGCAACCGTTACTTGCACCTCTCTTTCGCTAACAAATCTCTTACTCAGATATTCAAGACTTGTTTGGCAACTTTCATTTGAAAAATTTATTCTCCTGTCAATATAACTATAGTTTTCGATAAAATTTAAACGATATATTTTATCAACATAACAATCTGGTAGCAAAAGAAATTTTGGTTATTCTACAATCTAGACAACGAACCAGAAAATTAATCCGATGTATTAATATTTAAAGCTAAAATTGCTATTGCTACTTATCTTAAATAACTTCCTGAATATCACCACTTACATATTTATAAGATTACCTCAAATCTTTTACTTATCATTTTTAATCATAATAAACTTATTAAATTATCATTTTAAGGAATAGAATAAAGAAAAAAGCAACCCCCATATTTTTACTTATTTTAATGTATTTCGTGTATAATATTATACCAAAAACTAAATTTTATTTATAATAGTTGAAAGAATTATACGAAATATTTAAATTGGTAATTAAAATGGATAAAATTAAAATTTCCAAAACGGCTCGAATTTAATCGTTAAGAATTAAAACTAAAATAATCATAATAAAATTCTCAACGTCAGAAAAAAAATATTAATTGCTCTGGTATAAAAATGAAGCGCTCAAATTATATTTAAAAAAAATGAATAGCTCAAGAAAAATATATGAAACTTTCAGAAAATCTACTTAGAATTTAAGAAATCTGAGCTTTAATGCCCTTCCTGGCCCCCTTTTAAGTGTCGGCTAAATAGCTTTAAAAGAAAGAAGCAAATAAACAAATTTTAAAAAAAAACGAAGAAAAATTGTAAAAAAACAAAAAAAAACAAGAATAAAATACGAAAAATAGCAATGCCACCAGATATTTAAAATAAAAAAAAATAGGGTGTCCTCGATCAAATACTTTTTAACCTATACTCATGGCCTAACTAAATTTTAATTTTGAGCAATTAAGGAAAAAAAAAATTCTGATTTGAGTTTTTATTCTGAGCGAATTAATATAAATCCTATATAACAATTCTTTTTTAAAAAATAAATCATATTCTTTGATTTAAAAAAAATATAATATAATGTAATGTAACACAGTCAAATACAATTATATATTTTTTGACCAAATAATTATGGTAATTTAAAGTTTATTATCCATGTTCAAAACAGATAAAATTGGTATAATTTTTTACAATATATCATCTATTCATTTTAATTTTCTTTATCTTATCAAGGACCTTTTTTTGACTTTTATTATCACATATTCGTATTGTCTTAGATTTATATAATTGCACATAATTTATATTGAAATTTTATTAACTAATATTGAACTAATATTGGTTATGAAAGATTGATAATTAAATTAATATTTTTATAAATTATCATCTTTTTTTTTCATTTTTACAAATGACCAAATTATGAGACATCAACGCTTATTAATTTTATTTTGTATTATTTAATTTATTGAAGTGTGTACTAAACATAGATAACAATTAATAAAACTATCACTATTGAACATTAGCTTCTCTTAACAAACATATTACATATTTAAAGCTTTAATAGAGTCCGTCATCACAAACTGATCGGTAAAAACATTTTTAGATTTTGAGAGGGAGTTATTTAAAAAAATTTGGGAGACTTATGAACCGGCTAAAAACGATATTTTTAGTTACAAAATATCTTTTTTAAGTCATATAATCCTTTTTCTGTCATTTTAATCCTAATTAGGACTAGAATAGTTCTCTTGATATTATAAGAGGGCACTGTGATAGATTGTCGGCTATATATTATAGCTTTTTATAACTAAGATTTTTTTTATAAAAAAAATTCTTCAGTAATATATTTCCTTAAATTCATAAGAATATAATTGAATATTTCTTTATTTGCATATTACTGATTCATACAAAAAATATTTTTTTTAAAAATGCTTCCCTTAACTGTTTCATTTCTAAGTCGCTTAAAAACAAAGGTAAAATTGGAAATTTAGCAAATTTTTAAAGCAAATTTTAACTTAATATTAATAGATGCTAGGGAAAGTAAACACTTGTATTTAAATTGAGTTCTTTGAAACTATAGCTAAAAATATGAGAAATATTATCAATATTCTTAAAAGTTGTTTCCAATTCTGGGGGGAACAATGATGATATTTCCTCCATTTCTAGCTAATTTTTTAAAAATCCATTAAAATTTTCTAGGAGATATAAGCGAAATTCCAAATATTTTTCTTGTTCTTAACGATTTAGAAAATTATGTATTCAGAAAGATAAAGGGTTTTTATTTTATTAATTTATAAAATATAGCTTGTTAAAATAGGGATGGGGTGAGGATGATCCGTTTAATAGGCAAAACATTTAATAAACTTGGAAAAAGACATTAAATGCGATAAGCAACAATTTATTTAAAATTGGTTGGATTAAATTTCGAAAAATTTTGAATATATTATCTGGATATAAAAAATTATTTAAAATTTTTTTTTAACTCTTTATAGCCAATTTTTAAAAATTTGACAAGTAAACAACGATAGTTAAATCTTATTTGGAAATTGCATTTCAATTATGACAACCTTGCATTTTTTTTTCTTCTTCTTCTTCTAGATTTTAAAATTATTTTTTTAATAGGTAAAGCAGTGCCATTCCTACAGTCCACAGTGACGCAAACGTCGGTTCTCACGATATTAGCTATAAGCTTCGAAAGATACTTCGCTATATGTCACCCGCTCAAGATGCAAAGATACACCTCTGGAGCAAGTATCACCAGGACGATAAAATATTTATCCATCATATGGGGCGTTTCCTTGTTAACGAGTACCCCCTATATCTATATCACGCAATATCTCATGGCTACTCATCAAAACGGACAAATGGTACCGATTTGCATTACTTCGTTACAAAAAAAATGGGAGCAAATATTTTTCCTGTTTTCGGTGTCCATCTTTTACATTTTACCCCTAATAATATTGGTCATTTTATATTTCAAAATAGTTAAGGTATTGGCACAGAGTCAGGATATTAATAATACCGTCGAAAAAATGAAGCGGAAGGATTTTCAGAAATCGTTCTACGCCAAATCGATCCGTAGTAGGGACAAAAAATATAAGTATTCCTTTCGAAATACCTTCCGTAATAAAGCCTGTGTCAATCAACCTACTAACCGCCCTCAATCAGACGAGAATATAATAAGCGATTCCTCGCCTTCTTATTCCTTGTACCAGAGTTCGGGGAATATGACACCTCTCAGCAAATGCGAAATAAATCATTTTAATTATGACAGCGATCAAAATACTAAGAAAGTTAAAGGCATTATCAAATATCCAAGTTACGAAGAAAAGCAAGGTTATTCCTGCGATTCCACCATCTTAGAAAATAAGGAGTTACAAATTGTCAATAATTTGAACAGGGATTCCAAGTTAAAAATAGCGACTATATCTCGAATGGATACCGATGATTCTTGTAGCATACCAGAAAACATCACATCTTTATCTATTTTTCGGCGCGTATATCATAACATTCGTAAAGGTGTAGAGGTAATGTTGGCCACATACAAATTGGGCGCCTCCACTAGTCAACCAAATTGTCAAAAAAGAGATTATACCAAAAGGTGCAATAAAAATTTAAAATTTGGCAACCAGGAAAAACGGATAACATCTATAGATCCAAATTCTAGGGTAGGATTCAATAAATCATCTCATAAATACAGTATTATTAATAAACAACAATCTAAGTTAAGAAAACAACGCAATGCAGTAATTTCGAAAGGAGTTCATCATCATAGTAGCAAGAATGCCTCCAACCAGGGTAGACAACAATTGATAATAATGTTGATAGCTGTGGTCTTCATGTTTTTTATATGTCTTTTACCCTTTCACGGTTTAGGCATATGGTTAATTTTTGTTCCCCATGCGAAAGTGATAGCATTAGGTTTGGAAAAATATACCAACATTTTATGTTTTACTAGAATTATGTATTACTTGAATAGCGCCATAAACCCGATATTGTATAACGTCATATCCACCAAATTTCGACGCGCGTTTTACAGAGCTTTAACAAGTTGCTGCAGAAAAGATGATGGTAATGATTGGAAGAGTAGAACGAGAAGCGCTCAATCAAAGTACATTTCAACTTCAAGTGATTATCATACTAGTCAATATAAGAAATCTAAAATATAAAATGCGTATAGAATATAGTACTATATAAATTTAAAAGATTTTTGGGGGGAACAAAATATTTGAATTGAGGGTTTAAATGATTATTCCAATTTATTGATATATAATATATTATATACTCGTATAATTTAATCTTTTTTTAAAAAAAAATCTTTATATGAAATATCTACGAAAGGAATATATCTTAATATTTATTTTCAATAAATTTATTATTTTTCTTAATAAATAAGACAATTTGACTTATGCGTGATTTTGTAAATCTATTTTATTAAAATACGAATTTATTTATCCTTTCTTATGTCTTCTATTTTAAGCTATAAAAGTTTTAAAATTTTAAGAATTATATTTTTGGACATGTTTTTATTTTTGTGTTAAAAAAAAGTTTAGGAGCATGTCCTGGTTCGTCTCATTACTAAGCATCTTAAAAAGTAAGAGAAAAAAAAACAGAAAAAAAACGAAAAAAAATAAAACAAGAAGGAAAAAAAATACGAATAATAACAATGCCACCAAACGCTTATAAACCAAAATAGGGTCTCCTAATTCAGAAGCTGTTTAGCCTGAACAGAAATAATTTTCAAAAATAAGTTGAACGGCCTTAATCTGAAACTGGTTCCAGTCTCTAAAATTTTGAAAAATGAACTCTGGTTCTTATTTAGAGAAAAAAAGTCTAAAAGAGAGTTTCGGAATTTGCTCCCTAGATTTGTACCTCTTCTTCCAAGAGTTCTGTTTTCATGTTTCCAAGTGAATGATGATAAATAAACAAAAACTTTGAATTTTATGTTTTTATCAATTATTTCCAAAGATTGATCCTGCCTTTTTTTTCATCGCTTAAAGATGAAGCTGGCACCCATACACAATTGGTTTGTCTCAAGATCAAAAATAAGAGGGCGGCAGTTTTTGAACCAAGATACTAATATTAGGGCGCATCTCCCAACCCAGTAGGACAGCTGGCTTAGCAAATTTTGATTTAAGACCTGTATATTTTTTTTTTAAAAAAAGCCTAATTCTTTTTTTAAGAAAATGTAGATAAATTAAAAACTTTCCATGTCTTGCTGATGGGGTATAGCAAATATCGTAGAGATTAAGTTTTATTGAAGGATATGGGAGGCCAGGAATTGTATTATTCAGGAGGGGTTTTTTATATAATTTTTAAACTAATATACCTTGAGATTTTAATTTTTAAGCTAAATTTTATACAAATATTTCGCTTAAAAGTTTATTTTGAAAATGTTTTAATTTAACCACTTGAAATAAGTAACTTAGAAAAGACCTGGAAATGTTTTGACGGGGGAATAGGGAGGGGGTTCTGATAATTACTTTTTAAATAAACAGTCATTTACTTTTAGTACAAGAAATACACCTATATTTCTAAGAGCACACAAAGTGACGAGTTTAGTTGGGACCACGAATTACATTATGAAGATAAATATTTAAAATGAAAATATTATTTTCCACCTTTTCTAGACCAAGCCTGCTTCCATATTTGGAAAGGACTAGGCCAAAAAAAATAATAATCTTTTTCCAGAAGCTGAAGAAGTTGCTGTATCAAAGATCTGTTTGAAGATTTATATTATTCATATATTATAAGCAACAAAAATTTTATCATTAGATCTCCGATTCGTGACAGTATTTAATATGGAGATGGCAAAAATCCTATTTTATAAAACGGGGCTCATTAAAAAGGTCGTTTTAAGCTTATATATAAATATATTTTATAAATATTTTAAAAGCTTTCTTCACAAATTTTACATCGTACTAGGATATCAGTAATTTGTCCTTACCATCTCAGGAAAAACGTAAACATCAGATTTTTATGGAAATTTTGCCCTTATACACCCCATTTTGCTAGTCTTCGGCCCGTTTTCATAAGCTTTTGGTCAGGTTCCGTTTAATATCTTATATTATTTTTAAAATGTGAATCTTCAAAAATCTTAGCTTGTATTCAAATTACCGTTTTTTGTTTTGGTTTTCAAATTTCCCTACCTGGATAGAAAATTATGAAGTTCAGCAAACCTTTCTATTCGGAAAATTTATTATTGAGATAAAGAGATCAGAGATAATAATAATATTTTACTTTCAAATATAAGTTTAAAAGAAATATGTAAAAAAAAAATTATAGTATAAAAATGGTATATATTATAATAATTAAATTGCTTTACATGAGGTTTGATGAATGCTACAACTATTAATTTTGCAAATTATTTTTTATAACTCTGGAGTAATTCTTCAGTCTTTCGATGACCAAGTGTCTGTAATTGGAATTGAACAATAAGTTTAAATAAAAGGTACAACTAACATACATATATTCTAATACTATAAAAAAGATATAAATATTAGCTAGAAGTTTGTTAGAATATTTCATAACCAAAATATCCAAAAACATTTGATGGACTGATACTGGTAGCAGAAAAAATACAAATTGAAATGTTAAGATGGTTAAAGTTTTTATGTTTTGTTTATTTTCGGATAACTTTTTAGAGTGCCATCTATTAGAGGAATTCATTCCAGAAGGTTCAATATTTAGTAATAAACTGATAACTCCTTTATTTAGAGATTCAATTAAATTATAATCTTGAGTAAACGTGGGTTCATCCTCAATTGTATCAATAAAATTATAATTAGGTTTTGTAAAATTATCAACTTTACTTTTATTACCATTAAAATCTTCTTTAGTTTTATTTGTAGACACTCTTATAACTTGCTTACTATTGAATGATTTATAAATATTATCAGCAACTTTTATACCTCTTTTGATAAGTATAATTTTGCGTATAATCATCAGAGAAAAGGGAATTAACACAGCAAAAACCTCTCTAGAAATTTGGTAAGTTATCCAAAGATACTTAGCGTTGTTGTCCTGTGGTCCAAATTTTCGAATTATAATAGACATAATCTTCTGTGTAAGATTTATTTCCTCCACTTGCTGAAATTGTACACACTTTTGTTTTATACAAAGTAAACCATTTGTATGTAGGAGAATACCATATAATCGAGTATGTAAGACTCAAGAGCATAGCAATTCTGACTCTTTTAATATTAACAAATAAATTGTAGTTGAATGGAAATACAACTGCAATCAGTTGATTCGCGAAGAAGAGCAAATAAATGAAGAAACCAAAATTTAACAATGATTTTGATATGGGATAATGATAATGTGCCAAATATGTTATCCAACCTTTAGAAGTCCAAAAGGGATTTTCTAAATGCTCACGCCCGTAAATTTTGAGCAAGGGTCCAATGATTAAACCGAAAACATTTATAAAATTTATTAAGAAAAACCACTTTAACAAATATTGATTAACATTAACATTATGCTTTATTCTGTTGGAGGAGAATATACAATTATTTCCACACCTTGTATTTATTGAAAACAAATTTTGATGGTTTGAAGACGAAATAATTAGAGTCGGCGATTTATTACTAAACCATTTTCCAGTTGATCTCTTCGCGGTTTTAATCAAATTCTTCCCATGTTTAATGAAGCTCTTGAAATAAGCGCATAAATCAATGATTACGGATGGATTAAATTGGAAAATTTCTCCAAATAAATTCCCGGTGAGTCCTGAAATTAAAATAATTATACAGAAAACTTTAATCACCCAATTTATCTTGTAATTGTCAAGTAATTCGATAGAGGAATATTTTAAACAAGGTTGCTGTTCTTCCATAAGTTATGAATTGACCAATACGATTTAACGTATATAAACTAATTATTTATAAAATAAAATTCTAAATATAAACAGATCAAATTAATTACTTTTATTTGTAGTTAATTGGATATATTTTAACGGTTTATTTATCAATTTTCGAGGTTGAAATAAAAAATTAATTATAATATAAAATAAAATTTTAAAAATATAATGGAAAATTCCATGAATAATTATTTTAAAAGTTAAGTAGTTTTTTAATTGAAATTCACAGTCATTATTGTTTATTATTCAATTTAATTGCAATCTTTTTTAGTGAAATGCAGTTTTATATACATATATACATTATTAGAAATGAATTTTTTTCTTTAAAAATTAATATTTATTACGATATTTCATTTTACCATATTTGAAAAGTTGGTATCAGTTTTGTTAAACGGCTCTATCCGAACCGAATTTTAAAAATGGGCTAACTTAATATTATATCCAGAAAAATATTAAGAAAGCATGAAAATTTTGTTCATAGATAACACTTAGGACATCTACTAGCGAAATCTCAAGATTTAAGCAATATCTTTCTGGCTAAAAAATTGATTTAGCCGTTTAATTAAATATGCTCAAATAGAGCCGTTTAATAACACTGTTGATATCATAGTTTAACAATTATTCTCATCTCCGAGACAGTTTTTCCCTGAATTACCTTTATAGAAAAGGTAACATACCCAAAGAAAGGTTCAAAGTTAGAAAAAATCATAGATCAAAATTAACATGTTAAAAATGTAAGTATATTTTTAATGGATTAGATTTCATTTTTTTTCTTCTTATTTTATCTGCAAAATCATTCAATTAAAAATACACATTTTTAATATAAAAAAACTGCAATCAATTAATTTTACGCTGTGAAACTAATTTTTTCAAAATATAATTTGTATCCTTTGATATATTTATGTTGATTGACGCAAGTTGAAAGGTAAAATATATGCCTTCTATAACGGGGAGAGGGAGGTTACAAAGTAAATGCGTCATTAAATTTGCAATGAGGCACTTACATTTTAAGTATTCTTCAATTTGAACATTTTGCAACTCCCTCTCCAGAAGGTACTTTTATAAAGCAAATTGAAGATTCTACCTTTATATTTCACTTTTCATTCGTTCATTATTTTTCTTAAATTCTCTTTTCTATGGCGGGCTTAACTGACATATGAATTAATAAATACTAGAAACCTATAAATATTATTCCAATCTTTCAATGCTTCTATATTTTCCGTTCTTACACTATGCACATTATGTAAATAAATTTGTATTTTGATAATAATTTCACTTCTTTAACTGATAGCAAATCTCACGTTTAAAGTCTGACTTTATACTTTTTATTTTGCTTATAATTCAGTTTCCGCAAGGTGAGTACCATTATTGGTA